AATAAAAAAAAAAAAACTGATTTCAGAATCAGATTATTTCCCAACACCACCATGCCCTCTTGACATGATATACGTTCACGACCATCTGCTAAAATCACTAAAACGGGTTCCATATCTCTTACATTTGTAAGACTGTGATAGGAGCTTGTTAAATGATGTGAAGCACCTATGTCCAAAATCCAAGAGGGAGAACAACACTTACCAGAAAGTTTTTCATTGCTAGTAGTAGCTCCACCAGGCGCACCACCATTTAAAAACTTCCTCAGGTTCTGCCATTCAAGATCGCTAAGACCACTCACACCGTCACGGTCCTTGTCCGTAATCACATAGTTGACATGTTCTTGAGATGTCACGTTTGGAACATGAGCAGCATTGGCATAAGTGCGACCTCGTCCAGCAGGAGCAGTACCACGACCACGTCCTTGAACGACTCTACTTCTGGGACGGTCACCCCACCACTCAGGATATCCAACAACTGCAAAGCAACTATCGGAAGAGTGGCCATTACGATTACAGTGTTTGCATACCAAAGGAGCATCATCAGAACGAGTAGGAGGGTGTGAACGTGAACGTTGTTGAACCGCATATGCTGTAACATCAGCAATATCTTCACTTCTTTTAACATTTGTTCGCAAATCTTCCTCTTGACGAACAACGTTGTACACTTCCTCCATGGATTGAATGGGAATACGAGAGACCAGACTTGACCGAACTGTGTTGAAAGCATCATCAAGACCAGCCAAGAAATCATGAACCTTATCCTCTTCACGATCTTGTTCTTGTAAGACAGTGAGATTGCACTCGCATTTACCGCATTTACAGACACGCAAAGGTCTGTGATTCGCCATGCTATCCCATATCCGACTTATCTTGCCGTAATAAGCCTCAATAGCAAGACCTCGCTGCTTACAACAAGCAAGTTCTGCCTTTAGCTGTTGAACGCGAGGTCCATTAGTCACAGAAAAACGTTTTTTCAAATGATCCCATAGATCCTTGGCTACATCCCGATGAGAAACGTTGGAACGTAGTGAGGGATCGATGGTCATACGGATCCAAGACATGAGCAAGGCTTGAATAGTCCACCAGTCTTCCAAATCAGACGAGCCTTCGGCTGGACGAGCAAAGGAACCATCAAGAAATCCAAACTTCTTCCTTGAACAGAGAGCCGTTTTGATAGGTCCCAATCAAGAGCTTATAAGAACAATAGACTTTAAACATTTTTCCATATATTTCATTATAAGATGTTGTGAATATTTATACATGTTAAGGGCTAGCTATGATCCTAGAATATAGGAGATAGACATGAATCTAAGATTTAACATAGTCTACCTAAAACCAATAACAACAATAAGATCACAAATGATATTCTCATTGTTTCATCCTTATCTTAGTTGATACCGGTTTACTTCGGTTATGTTCTCATTACGTTTTGATGCCACATGCCCATTCTTCATAATTCATCCCTTTCAGCAAAGGATGGGAAATTATAGCCCCAGGATTATCAGCCGCCGTCAGATCATACGGAGAGATCTTGCGTCTCACCTCAACCGTCGTGGTCGTCGTGTTCGTGTTCGGGTTCATGTTCGTGGTCGTCGAGTCGTGTTCGTTGTGAGACATGGTGTGAGATCGAAAAAAAAATTAGGTTTGTGTGTTGTGCTCTGATACCATGAAGAGACAGAGAGTGAATAATTCTGTGTGTCTTATTGAGAATCGATTACAACATATATATTACAAGAGTTGCAGAGAATATGCAGAGAATATACAGTGCAAAGTATGGTAACAAAATAAGTCTAATGACAAGTCTTATGGGATATGATTTCCTGTGGTAAATAATATCCCAATAGGTAACTCAACACAAAGACTAGTATAACGATGATACGATTGTTTTATTTGTAGACAACTTTTTTTTTTTAATTGAATGTAAAATTTAATTCAATCAAAAACCATGTGTACAAAGAATGGTTTAGTTTGTTTGAAAATTTTGAAGGTATTTAAAGAATAAAACAGAATTTGAAAAGCTATATGTGAATTTTAACGGGTGGAGAACCAAAGGCGGAGACCATCATCATAACTATGATTACTTATGTCTCGGATTGAGCTGATGCGGTTTCAAATATAATTCTTTTCAATTAGCTTAAAAAGCCAAGCTTGCGGTGAGTGTAGAACCCCGTGTTGTCTATCTTTCCTTTCACGCCATAGACGGTAGAAAGTGGAGTGAAAAATGTACCGAAACAAGAATAAATAGTGTCGTGGGATCGTTTGGTTATTTATTTGTAGACAACCTAGTTAAACCCATTTTAACATAACTCTCCGGTGAATATAGACTAGAAGAACTGCAAAATCTAGTTGAACACAACGTTCAAACGATTAAATCACAAGCTACAAAAAGAATGCATAGAAACCTTAATTTAATCAAATCGTTAGGTAAAATAAAAAGTAATAACATAACGTAATTTTCACTAAACAATCGAAATTAAAAGAAGAAAGTGATACCAAATGAACAGTAAGAAGATCCTCGAGAGAATCATGATGAGTCGCCATCTTTTCTCTCTTCTTCGAAATAAAAGAGAAGTAAGTTGGTTGGTTCATTATATATATAAACTCAGACCACCAAATCTTAGGCGAAGACGATCATTATTGGTAGTATCTTAACCATATCTTAGATTAAGATATATGAAGAAAATGATCTTAAGATAATATAAAAATTAAGATGAAGAAAATGAATATACAAAACTCAAACTCTAAAAGCTGCCACGTGTCTCTCACAAATTTTAATTAAATACATCATTATTTATTTTTATTTAAAAAGTTAAATACATCATTATTTTATTTTAATTATACAATATACCATTCTATTTAAAAGCAACTAAGATTCTTTTATTTTTGTAATTATTCTATGATATATTGCTTTCCTTATCTCATCTATGTATAAAAGAAGAAGAATGGAGCTAGTCTCTCCCACGATACGTTGGCACATTATCGATAAATTAAAATGTTAGCTTTTTGCTTATTTTCTCTTCATTTTGTATATCTCCACCTAATGTTATTACTAAATTATTTCTTAAACATATTTTCATAATCTGTTTAAAACTTAATTATACTCTGAGAGTTGTTTACTTTAAAATTGCGAACTAATGGTAAATATATGGATAAGATAACTATATTAAATATAATACATCACAAGAAAATATCATATTGTTTAGTAGAACTAATTAATCATATCAAATAACTTTCAAATTTAATATTTTTAAACGTTAAAAATGTTATAAACTTCTAAACTTTAGAAAGTTTAAAATACCACAAGAATAGATATATGACATAGCGGATTTGTATCACATTAATATAGATTTAAAATATCAGCAAGCAGATGCAAGAACAAGGGTTATATACACATTTTATAATTTTTTTAACACCATTAATATTAAAATATAAAATCGGTCAAATCAAGTTAATTGCGTGGGAAAAATAAAAATTGTCAAGTGGTATACTAGGGCTTTCAATGGAGATAATAAATATGGCAGAACAGATCAAGCAGTTCAAATATACCCAGCAGAATAAAAGCAGATTAATCAGATATGCTAGCAGATCAATTATTTTTTAATAATATTGTTTTTTTTGAACTGCCATTATATTAATTTTGTGTGAATGGAGGAAAAATAGCAGTTCCCCATTGTGTGTATTATCTGCTTTTAATCTGTCCTTCCATTCAAAGCCTATGTATCATAATAATAAAAAAAAAAATTATCAGATCAAGTCTATGATATATTTTCATACCCGCGCAAGCGCGGATGGATTAGCTAGTTGTATTGATGATATACGGAAAGAAAATAAAGAGACGCGAGAATTTAATATTTCTGATAATTTTCTATAACTGAAAAAAGATACATTTTTGTATTTCATATTATCAATGTTAATTTTTATTGCTTATGGGTTTCTCTGTCAAGGTCCTCAAGGATGATGAAGATTTACACTATTTTCTTGGTTTCAGCCTTTGAGGAGCATACAACTAAGCTGGTGATTCTGACAAGATCATCCACACAAGTAGAGTATCGAGCTGTCATAAATAAACTAGATATGCAATCTCTTCACATAACTTGGACTCATATTGCCTAAACCACAAGTTGTGTACTGAAATAATGTCGGGGTCACGTTCGTATGCACAAACTCGGTGTTCAAGTCTAGAATGAATCATATAGCCATAGATTATTACTTCATATGCAGCTAGATTCAACTAGGAGCTCTCCGAGAGTGTCTCACACATCAACACAAAAGACCAACTAGCCGATTCGTAAACCAAACCTCTCTCTCGTGCATGCTTAAGTTTGATGTTGTTTCAACTGCTCCATCTTAAGAAGACGTGCATGTTAGAGAATGTTTAGATACACATCAATTTCACAACATCTGTTTTCTCAAACATAGAGACTCTCATCCTACTATACATAATTTATCTATATACATTATTGTAAGATACAAATACATGAAAAAACTCTTCGACATACTAAAAAACAGCCACGAATCTTTTAAGCTACGACCCTATAGCCACGAATTTTAACGCACAGCCACGGATAGCCAAGTGGCTATAGAGATTTTTTTTACTAGTGATAGTGAGAAAATTTAGCTAAAGAATTAAGCTCTAGAAAGTGGTATGGTCTGTAGAAAACAGTTGTGTACATGTTTTAAGTTACTATAAAAAATTTATTTGCCGACAAAAAGTGAAAAATAATTTCTAATTATTAGATTGTAAGACAGGAGATGAGATAGGGAGACAAGAGTGTAAGATCTTACTAGAAGAGTATAGATATATGTTGACCGAAGCATAAAAAAAAGAGTTACATATGTTTTGCTAAAAAACAATAAAGATAAAGAGTTAATTTTTTTTCAATTCTATCCTCTCTTTTTACAATCTTGTGCGAGTTAAAAAGGTGAAAACTCATCCTCAACATTTTAAAAACTCTTATCTCTACGTGTGCACAAACCTCACCATTAGATGATAAGTAGAAGACAAAACTTACAGCCAAATCGACAAAACTTATCTCTCTCCAAAACATTTGGTCCATACGATAAAGCAAGAAAGAAGAATTAACAAATTCAAGAAGACGAAGAAGAAGAAGATGAAGCATGAAATGGTGAACATCAAGCTACGTTACATATCAATCTTCTTTCTTCTCTTTGCTTTGCTTCTTGGAAATTATGTAGTTCAAGGTCTCTCTCTTCTTCTTCTTCTTCATCAATCATCTCCTTCCTTATTCTTATCTTATAATTAAATTTCAATATTTCCAATTCTTGTTTCTTGTTTTTTTTTTCTTGAACCAGCTTCAAGACCTCGTTCTATCGAAAACACGGTCTCACTTCTCTCACAAGTACATCTTGTGGTATATAAATTCCCATTTTTATCAGTAATTAAGGATTAAGCTATATAATAACATAGTACTATGTTTTAATTTGAAAATATTTGCAAAAATTAGCAGAAGTCGAGGAGGAGGAATATGATAGGGTCGACAGCACCAACTTGTACGTACAACGAGTGCAGAGGATGCAGATACAAATGCAGAGCTGAGCAAGTTCCAGTTGAAGGCAATGACCCTATCAATAGTGCTTATCATTATAGATGTGTTTGTCATAGATAATAATGATACAATTTCTTATAATTTTGCCTTTTTTCATTGCAATTTTTGTATGACTTGATTGCATTTTTGTTATGAGATGTTTTGGTTAGCATTATGATTTGATTAGTAGTTCATTAGCCAAGAGCTTCATCAAGATAACCTTGTTGTGTGCATGGGATAATATAATATGGTAGGCTTTTGTTTGTACGTGTTGGTATTGGTATTGGTGTCGATGAGTATAGTGGAGATGATGATAACATTTGGATGAGTGGTTGTCTAACCATATATGTGTTTATAAGATTCACATGGTGATGTGGTCCAAATTTTAAGACATAAGTTCAAGAGAAGATCACATGAGGGAACTAGAGTTGTTATGTTTTGTAGTTGTAGCCTTACTCTATCTTTTGTTTCTGTCACGTACATGTTATGACAATATATGCATTAAAGACATTTTGTTCTATTAGGATCATTACAGTGTTATAGAATGTTATATGTATGATCGATGCTATTACTTTTCATTTGTTTTTTCTACACCTAATGAGTATTTATTTTTATTTTTCTCTCTTTTAGTAACCAAAAAGTTCTTTATCTCATTGTAAATAATATTTAAAAAGTGTTATAGCATAAAAAGTGTTAGGTGTTAAGGGGGCCGATTACTCAAAGTTTAAGCGGAATTTATACGATTTTAAATGGTTTAGAGATTTATAGCATAAAAAGTAAAATATATAGAGATATACCTTCAAATTTTAAAAATATATATCAAACAGATAAAAGAATAAAAAATAAATAATACTCCCTCTGTTTTACAAAGAGTGTCATTTTAGAATTTTATTTTTGTTTCACAAAGAGTGTCTATATTTCCAATGCATTTTTACACTAAATTTCCTAATTTTACCCTTATTATAAAACTAATTAAATCCATAAATCACTTATTAAATAGGGGCATATGTGTATATTTTAATGTTTTTTTAATTTGTGTGAAATGTGTCAACATGACACTATATGTGAAACAAAATGAGTAATGTATTTGACGACTTTGTTTATCTGTCTAGGTCCATCTAAAATTTTTATAAACTAGATTTTACCCCGTGGTACACCACGGGACCAGTATTTTATGCATTTTTGTTTTATAAAACATAACCGTTTTATTTTACATATACGGATGTCCCTATGGCATACCACGAGTCTATATTTATTTTAATAAACCACTGATGTGATTAATTACCAAACGTACGATGTTATATATTTGTTGTTGTATTTACAAAATTAACCCCATGATAACTTTTTTGTTTTTAAAATAGAAGTTATAATGTTGTATATATTTTGGTGTCTTTGTAATAATTAATGTAATCTTTACTAACTTTTTTGGGTTGACTTTTATACTTTTTAAAATAATTATATGAATAAATTACATTGATATTTGTAAGACTTGATAAAACTAACCACTGAATATATTCCTTCATGCATAGTGTGTTCCTTCATGTGAGTTACATTTGAAATAAAATACGCATTTGTCTTTTTTTTAAGCAAATGCAATTTTTCCTTATCATATGATATGAAACTATGAATGACAAAAAAAAATAATATATATATATATATATATATATATATATATATATAAT